TTGATTTGATAGGATATAAAGAAAAATAAAGTATTAGCAAAAAACCAAAGATGATCAAAACTGACTGCTATGCACACAGAAATGGTTTTCGACCACTTCATGGATGTTTGCCGGTACGGATTCCTTCGGTCGAGCCAGGCAAACCAATCTCTGGCATGACTTGATAGGCAACATAATACACAAAAATAGAGAACGTTCCAATCAGGGTCGCAGCCAATATGGAAATAAGGAAACCAAAGTACATTGAATGCCAAAGTGTACGTATTTTCGAAGGTCTGAATTTCTTCCATTCCATTGCGCTTTCTTCTTGTTCATCCTGTAAGTCATCATTGTCTTCTGTTGAGCAGGCGTCTGTAATGCGTTGAACAGCACTTCCGCGGACTTCTCTGTCACCGTACTCTTGGAAAATAAACTCGTCAACGGGATGACTGTTCCATTCTAAGCCCGTGCTTTCCTTAAGATGAAAACCGAAAGTTTCTGGATCAAACTCGACGCAGTTTGGGTCGTAATGTTCAGCTACACTGCGTGTCAATCCAAAAATTATACTTCCACATACTTCCACGAGAGCACTTCCAACCATTTTAGATGCCGGTCAGATCAAAATATCAAGGCTGATTATAGTTTACGGTTGAATCACGCAGTTTGAGCAGTTGAGGCGGTTACCTTCACTTAAGGTTTCAAGCAGTTATAAACGATATTTATGATGCAATCACGATGCAAAAAAGGTTTCCAACAATGAAAGAAGTAGTTGCTTTCTTTTGAGACAAAAGTTGTTTTTCTTAAGTTTTAAATACTAGATTATACATTGAAGTCGGTCACGGAACGTCCTAGAAGACGAGGGTCAGATTCTGATGTGTTTGTATAGTTATTGCAAAGCCGGCAAAACCGAAAGCAAGAATGTCAAAAACTTCTGACAATTCGTAACTCTTAAGAACAGCTAGTGATGTGCAATGTGATCGTTTGCTAATTATCTGAGAACATTTGCTGAGAAAATATGTCATTTATTATTCTTTTAAGTGTCATTCGTTCTTATAGTAACTTTAAAAAAATAGGCAAAAAAAAATTAGGCATCTTGTCGTTTCAGCTTCAATCATCTACCATTCACATAAAACGGTATTGCATGCTTGTTAATAAGAGTATTTATCAATTGTTCTGAACTAGAGGTGTATGTCTTACTGCGAATGCAGTTCACAACATGAACCATGTTATCTTTCACCCGGTATTCTGCACCAAATACAATAAAGGAGTGTTGCTACTGACACAAATCAAAATCAAACATTTTGTCCCAATGTCATATTTAATATCACATCTAACGATATTGTAGAAAAGAATAAGAAGAATACAACTTGTAGCTAGAAGGGAGCCTTCACTTATTATGACAAGAAACGAAATATTTCTGTTAACATATTTGACAAGGTATAAAAATAGGGTTTTATAGAAACAATGGTGCCGCATCGTATCACAAGAATGTGCCTAAGACAGAAAAAGGATAATACGGAAGTCACTGACTTTAACGATTGATGGATATTTGACCGGACTGTGAATGCTTACGTATTCTTGACCTTGTGTGATTTACTATTCTCTAAAGGTCTCTTATTATCAAAGCATTGGAACTTAATTTTTAAATTTGACTGTGTATGGCAACAATTACTTTATTTCTAGACCCTGGGAGAAAGAGTGGAAAGCTTCAATGCTTTAATATCAAGACACTTTGAGACAATATTTATTCATACAGCTACATACTTTGACGCATGTCACTGTTACCTATGCAGCACCAACCAGTATCGGATAATGTTTTTTGATTTTCCCATTTCCCCTTTTCTCAGTTCTGTTATCATGTAGCTAATAATAGTTTTTACAATTATGCTATAGTTTTTAGCCTTGTAAATAGTTGATATAATATTAATTATTTTGTTTTAACTAATTTAATTGTATTTCTCTTTTAAATCAGACGCATTAGCTACTTAAGCTAAATGCTTAGCAAGCTCCAGGTATTCGAGTGGTGATAAATAAATAGTGTGTATAGGAGCATACGGTTCAAACATCACTCTTTATAGAATGGATCAGGAATGATAGGACGGATAATTATTGTTGCACTACTAATTTTGGAAACAAACTAAACCTTGCTAAAACATTATAATTTCACTTTCTAGTGATAAACTGACTCAGAGGTAAATTTTAAAAACGTTACAGACCATGACCTGGTCAGAGTGCAGAACTGAGACATGCACAAAAGCTTTGAGTTCCCAAAGGGCTAATTCGAGACTCCTATCGGACCTATTGAGTGCTTTAAGCCTAACTTCGAGTTAGAACGAACTATGATGCCGTATGCTAGGTTCACGTGCGGCGCGTCTACATGTACTACATGTAATAGAGCTAGGATAAATAAAGCTGAAATAATGGAATGACTGACAACGGGAAATATTTGCAATATTACAAGTGTATGACATGATCTTTTGTGTGATTTATTAATATGAATCTAAGCAAAAGTAAGTATCAGTTTCCAGCAATAATAAATTATTCGATTTACATATGTTCCGAGTCGGTCTGTTTCCGAAAGTCCGTGGATACTAAAAAGGAGGGGAGCCGAAACAGCCCCAGGCCCATTCAGAATTTTCGCGTATTCTTTCTTTTCCCATTACATCAAGCTGATGCTGAGCGTTTTACTAACTGATGCAGTTGGCAGAATTGCTTACAGCCTTTTAGTTGAAGTCTGTAGCTAGCCTGCGTAGCATGGCGATTTTGTCGAACCGGGCGCAGGAGAGCAGGAGCGCCTCAATCTCCTCGCGGTTTCTCAGCCATCGCCCGCCTTTATTACTTAGCGCTCCCAACCAAAACCGCCATGCTAAACAGGCTAGTCTGTAGCTAATCTTCTTGCTGCAAATACCTTCCGGCGCGCGCACTGACATCCTTGTGATAGGAAGTAAGATCAAGGTAAAGGCAGTCTTGTCCCCCTTAAACCAATAGAAAGTTCCCAGTTCTGAAGAAAAAGGGAATGCGTGCAAAGCTAGCCTTTTTGTTTCTTTTTCTATCCTTCTACGAAATACGCATTGACGTTGTTGTGCACTCAGTTCGCTTTTACGTATAACATCATTGCAGCAAAAATCAGGACGGCTAGTCTCAGAACACTAAATCAGTAACTTGAGGCTATTAGTCTAAAAATAAGCTCCTCTAAGCAATACCCCGTTTCTAGTTACACGGTCAGTAATTATATGTTTTTCGAACGCCTGCAATTGACAGCTCTGGCCTAGTCGGAAGGCGGGAGATTAGGGAAGGATTATCAAAGTAAAGTCAAGAAAAGCTTTCGTTCCCCCTCATGCACATTCTTACCATTAAAGCTTAACCCCAGCTAAAACCTCTAAAATTCGTTTCTATAAATGGCTAAATGGCATCGCGCAATAGTCCACAACAGTAGGGAATCGTCCCTCAATTGCGGTCAAAAGATTCAGGCTGGACCAAGCAGCTATTGGCAATGTATTAAACATTGCCACGGTCAAGTGTATTTTCCACTGCCTTCGCCAGACTGCCATAATTGGCCTGTTCTGATACCGAGTCTCAATAGCTATACTCAAACACGTGAAGAACCACTCTATAATCAGTGGAACTGCTGTAGTGATCGCAAACGATTGAAGTAATTCCAGTGATGTCTTGTCCACTGTGTAGAAATATTCATGCAAGTGAAGAAAGCCGTTCACGGAGATAACAGCACTTGCTTCATAAAGCATACTCATTATGGCAATATCTGTCGCTAATCTCTCGCGTCGAGCGGTTCGAAAACTTCCCCAACAAAGTCGTTTTCTTTCATAAATCTGATGGTAAATGTAGTCAATCAAGACTATAATACTTCTTTCTATAACCTCTGCGATGCCGTGGATGACTCCGATCAAAGCCACTGCCTTCAAACTATCAAGATCCACTTGAAGAAGCCTTAGCACGACGGCAGACCCATAATACAGTGGTACTAGATATACAAAGGTTTTTCCGGGATGACTTATTCTCCATAAACGCTGAACAAACAGGCGCGAGGAAGCTTTCAGAACAACTCCAATCAGAGGGGTGAATAAAGCAATGTAAACTTTACCTGTTTTGTCTTGCTTGTTATACGCAGGATAAACGAAGTAAGCAGCCACTGTGGCTACAATAAATGTAAAGAGGGTAGATCCTATTATCCAAAGAAACGTTTTCACTTTTCTTGCTCTAACAGCCTGGAAGAAGTGCTTAGCAAGAGCCCACGATTGCATGCACATACTAAATAAAAATATCACGTTTCCAAGGATACTTTGTACAGGCGTTAAATCGGAATAAGAAGCACCAAGGCCCTGAAGAGCAATGCGATAAGCTACGTAGAAAGCGAAGATAAAGGAGGATATCAAAAAAAGTTTAATTTTCATTCCCTTGATTTGATATGATTTAAAGTAAAAGAGATTGTTAACAAAAAATGAAAGGTGAATGAAGACTGCTTCAGTGCTTTCAAAAGCAGTCTTTGACCATTGAATCTTGACTGGAATGGATTCCCTTGGACGAGCCAGGCAAACTAATATTGTTTGATAGCTCAAATAATACACGAGAATAGAGAACGCTCCAATCAGGACCGCACTCAGCAAGGAAATTAAGAATCCAAAATACATTGAATTCCAAAGCGTACTTAATATAGATGGTCTGAATTGTTTCCAATCCATGATTCTATTAACTCTTTGGTCCTCGTTTGTCCTATCCTCTTTAAGTTGGTCATCTGGCGAGCACGCGTCAATAAGTCTTGGCTGAACATTGTCATAAAAAATATTGCCAGCACTTCTACCGATTTCTCTGTCACCGTACTCTTGGAAAATTAACTCTTCATCGGAACTGATGACCCATTCTAAGCCCGTTCTTTCCAGAGGATAGAAACCAAAGGTCTCTGGATCAAACTCGGTATCATTTGGGTTGTAGTGCTCAGCAACACCGCGAGTCAATCCAACAATTATACTTCCACACACTTCAACGAGAGCACTTCCTACCATTATTGATGTGAAAAAATGCCGTTATTGACTTACTCACGACAGTATCACACCCTATTGATCAAGCACCGTAGCATAAGGCAGTTACTGGCTCAGCTTCAGACTCAGCAGTAAAAAATATTACGCCGTAGAATCGTAAAGGATAATGAAAGCTAAACGTGGTTGCGTTCCTGTGAAACGAAAACTGAGATCCTTGTTTATGAGATCCTCTTTGAAAACCACATCTTAGTCTCAATAAAGACTATTATAACTGACTTTTGAAGTTGATTCGAAAAGTTAAGCCTCTTATCCTAGTGTAATGCTCTTAAATGATAAAGCCCATTAAATTATGTATTTAGATTTTAATGGAAACATTAATCTATTGCATAGTACGGTTTGTGCTCACTGAATAATTTTATCTGAAACAATTTGGTCTGATTTTTCATCAGGATCGATCTAAACTGCGCTTGGGGCTAATTGTGATCAAAGGCTTCTTTTCAAATGAACAGCATGGAATCAGGTCTCCAACTGCAATCAGTAGTTTCTTTCTAAAGTGCCGGTATCCAGGTCGCCAAGGAGTAATTTACACAAGCTGTAAAAGGCTTTTCGGACATTACAGAAAAAGCGCCTTATAGATGAGAGCGATTACTGCTGCGCGCGTAGCGAGCAGCAGACCTGTCTCACTCAGATACCAGTTTGATTCTCGACGTTTGTTAGTGAAACACTTTTCCTCGCTTTCCGGTGGATCAGCAACACAGCTGACCATTTCAATGTTGGCTCAAGCACGTGCTTTCTCTTCAGCGTCCTTTAGCGAATTTCACAACCCACAATCCAGTTTACGTTGTAATAATTTGTATTGCTTTGCTACCGTGTTTCTTGAGGAATGTTGTTCGTTTTTTTTCTTTCAAAACATCATTGATTTAAAATCTTTGTTAACTGCAAATCATGCGAAAGGAAAGCATTAAATTAGCAATATTTTTTAAACTCGTGTTAATTTCCTATAATAAGGTAGTTAAGCTTTAGCCAGTACAAACCACAGCGAAATGCCAACCTTACCGAACAGCTGACAGAAGCTGAACTGAAGGTTTAACATGTACATGTGAACGGATTTTACGTACGTATGTTTTACACTTAAGCAGGGAGTGGGGGCTACTCTCGATCAATATTTACGTATTTAAGTGAGCTGCTGATGGTTTTGAAACCCTGACACCAATTACGACAGAATCCCTAAAATACATACCCTGTTTAGGACAACACCCTTAATTTTATTACTCGTTTAGGAAAAAAGACAAAATGCCCGACATTTTGTTTTCAAGCCGGTTAACTATTGGCAATTGCAATAGAACAAATTTACTTTATAGTCATTGCTTTTTTATATATATACTTGGAGTCTAAACAAATTTCCTCAAGCAAATCAAATCAATCGTGCAGGCCGGATACCCTGTTTATAATTAGGAAAGGATCCCACGAAATTTACAGAGAGTGAAAAAACCGACCATACGGCCTTTTCAGCGGCTCATCCCTGTTTAGTCCGCATAAGGGAGTGCACCCTCGGGTCTTAAAATAAAGAATAAGACATCAAGAATACGAAGAATTCTGAATCAACGCATGAAAGAGAAAGTTTGGTCCCTGTTTGAGGACTTCTAAATAGCGACAAGTTCTAACCGGACGTTCTAAAAACTTAAGGAAGAGACGGCCCTCCAGCATCCAAACAATGCCTTTAACATGTTGTTTGCTACTGTTCGAAAACGTAACCAACTGCAACTTGTAATGTATTAAGTTAAAATTAGTATCTTTATTACTATCGCACTTTTTGTTTAGATACTAGGATATATTAATGGCTACACTTGTAATTGCTTAGGTTTGATCTGCGATTGAAAGAAATACTGAAAAGCTTCTCTGGTTAAGTCGATAAATTTCAGACACTTTTTCTTGTAAAAATATAGCCCTAGTATATTTTTTAGTTTGTTGCAGTCTCAGACAGTTGAGAGAATTAGTACGATAAATACTTATAACAAAATAACCCTTTTAATCAAAAGGAATCCGATATTTTTCCACATGTTTTTGACCAAGAGCTCTAGACTTCCGTAAAGAATCATAAATTATCAAATTCACTTTCATATGATCAAGCCGTTTTATACACCCAAGTTTGGTCGAAACCATAACTTAATTTTGAACATAGGTTGTCTACCTCCTGATTGCAAAACGAGAGTTCTCGCTACCCTTCTTATTTCATACTATTTCATATACTGATTCTAAAAGAGAAGTCAGACTCAAAATAATAGAACGAATAGCAATCTTTTTTTGGCCTCGGGCCTAAGTTTGGTCTAAAAATAGGGGGGTGGAAGGGTTCCCTCCCCCTGATCCGCCAGTGCAACCATTGCTTTTTTTCTCTTCTCCTCCTTTCCTTCTCCTCGCTCTTTCTTTTTCTCCTTTCCGTTTTCTTCATTACAGCGATTTTGGAGCTGGTCGTGCTTGGGGACGGACCATTAGAAAAGTTATGGGGGGGGTTGGGGAAAAAGAGAAAAAAAAATTCACGCAAGGGAAAATGCGAAGAAAAAAAAATCATGCAAAGGAGAAGGTAAAGAAAAAAAATTCATGCAGAAGGAAGGTCCAATTGTGACTTTTTCAGAAAGTCTGAGTTTCTTTCAGAAAGTCTGAGGTTCAGAAATCAACAATATTACCAGGCACAATATGAATAAACAAAAATCACTTTCTTCTTATGAAAGGAGACAATTAGAACCTTGTTTTTGTTTTAAATTGCAGCTAGTGTACCTACAACATACACTGTATACTGTATTATAATAAAAATAATAAAATAAAATTTGTAATAAATAAATATTAGAATTTGGTAGCTTTGTAAATATTCTATAAAATTATTTGCAAGTTAGTATTTTCGATCCTAGCCACCAGTATTTAAACAGCCTGCTTCGCTCTTTGTACCTAGCTAAGACTTTACCGTAATAACAACTGACGAAGAGCGCTATAGTTCCGAAACTGCAGTCTTGCGTAAGAATTCATAGCAGTCGCATAGACGACTGTTAAGCTAAAACTTAAGTAAATACCTTCGAAGGAACAACAAGACATCGCGCTCTAGTTCAAAGACTCACTTATGTTAAGAAAAACTAAAAGGACTGTGTGAGCGCTAAAAGAATTATCTTGACTGACGCACGGCATATTTCTCCAAACTTGGTGTAGCTTTAGTTTTATCTACAGTGTACAACTCAAATCTGAAGATCGCACTATCCGTGGAAATTCAAAATCCTGCAAACCACACTACAGAGCTGGGCCCAGAGTCATACTCACATGGCAGGAAATAATCACATTCACGGACAAAGACACTTGCATGCATGCATATAGTTATTCAGGTACAGTCATTTCGGAGAAAACCAAAAAAACTAAAATCTTTATTCAGCCGTAATAAACAGAGTTCAAAGGATATAAAACACTTTACAACTACATCTGAAATCAAATCCTATCAGGGACACCTACAGAAGCATAAACCACAGGAAATGATTACTCAGTATGCATGTAACAAATCGGCTTCATGACCTCTAAATATAAGACTTAGTGCGGCAAAAACAAGATTTACTCAGTCAAAGTTTAGAATGCTACACGTCTTGCACTGTGTAGTGTTAGTAAACTTCGCGCGAGAGAAAAAAAGAAAGAGAACCACTGAGAAGACTCTCAAGGTCACGTTTCACATTATCACGAGCTTATGAGTTGTGTTTGGCTTATTTCAACGCTTATTTCTTGCTGTTTTGGTGAATGGAGTATGGCATCATTATGATGGGCTGTAGGAGAGGAATTCCAGAGGGCAGGGACTGAAAAGATGCACAGGGGAGCCGTCCACTCCAAGTGGCTTCCTCCTCTCTTACTGTGTGTACATTTTCGAAAAGATTTTGCATTAAAGTGGCCTGTATCCTTCGATCTGTTGTGAGTGTAGAATAATTTATAAAGCACAAAAACATAGATAATGAATCAAGATTTCACTGTTCAAAAAAAAAAGCAATATTTGACAGAAAAAAAAATTCGTGCAGAGGGGTTCACTTGACAAAAAATTTCCTGCATAAGCAGTGAGCGAAAAAAAAAAATTCGTGCAAGCTGAAAATCCCCCCCCCCCCCACCCCCCATCACTTTTCTAATGGTCCGTCCCTTAAGAAACCTCCCTTGCCAAATCCAACACTTTTTTGAATGTATTTTAAAAATATTTTTGAAAACTGTTTTTAACCTTTTAAAGCCTTTTCACTCGAATGATTGCAAATTTCCTTAGGTTAATGTTTAAAAAAACCAAAAAAAAAAAGGTTAGATCTGCATAAGACGTTTTTTAAGCCGTTCACTAGTAGGTTGCAATGCTTTTCAAGTTTACAGTAGTCAGCTGCACCCACACAGTAAAACGTAATATTCAGTTGTCAGTTGTAAAGCTGAAGGTTCTGGACAGGCGTACCAGTGCTTATAACAAGACATTGAGCATAAGAGTAGGCTCTGTAGAAGACGTTAATACAAGGATTTACACAGTGATCTGACGGCCTGTGAAATCCAGGCTGCTCCCACAGCATACGATTTTCATGAAAAATGTATTAAATTCCCTGGTCGCATAAGAGCGTTAATGTAAGGCACGATTCCGCCTAGGGCAGTCCTTGAATAGGTTTACTATCAAAAACAGTCAATTATGAAAAAAACTTTTTTAATTCTTAATACCTCTCCCATTATAAAATTAAATTTATTTTATCATGCTTTCTACCTCAGCTAAGTCAGCACTATTTAACCTAACTTACTATCTAGTTACCCCTAGCAAAAAGCTAACCCTAATAAAAACTGCAGCTTTAACCTGAAACCGCGTGTTACAAACGTATTTTTACACACTTTAGCCGGTGGTATTATCCATCAAGTTGAAATAAACGTATTTTAAAGAATACAGAATCAATGCATGAAAGTGAAATTTTGGGCAATGTTTGACAAAGTATTAAGTGACAAGTTCTAACCGAATGCTCCAGCCCGTACAATCTCCGTAATAAAACAAA